ATGTACACAATTGTAGCAGTTTTTTTACTATGAACTTTACAAGAGTTCCTTGTATACTTTTATCAAAATATAAAGACATATCTTAGAAATAGGAACAATGGGAATATTTTCATATCAATAGGAAGAAAGCTGCAATTCTTTGTGAAATGGGGTCAGTTTAAAAGTTATCTTATTAAAGAAAAATTGGAATAAAATTCATGAAGTCACTTCACAGAGGATTTGGAAGAATACACTGAGACCAGCTGGTGGTGTTTGATTATAGACATGGGTAGAGGCAGTAAATAGAATGTCATCTTTGTTGATTTAATAGAAGTGAAGCAAGAACTCCAATTAAATACCAATTAGGTATTGTTGAAGCTAGTCTAGTTTTAATTAAGTACCTTTATGAAGCAAGATGAATTGTTCAGAATTTTATAAAACTTAACCCCAAGGGTCATAATTGTACTTGAACCCTTATTTTGATTCCCACAAGTATTCTACTGTTCTCACAGTCTGTTTTACGATCAGAAATGACATCTATTCTTGCCACATTTTGTTTGCATTTCTTCCTACATGAAGCCTGACTGGATTGCACAGGCTTTAGTGGAAGATTAAACAATTCCAAAGCCCATAGTAGAAGCATATTCAGTCTTATTCCTTGTTTGACTCCTGCAACCTTCCTGACTCTCATCAGGGACAAAATCCACTCCCCCCCCTCCTGTCCTTATTTTAGGAATTGCATTCCAGTCCTCAATTAAGAAAAGGCTTGCCCCTCCTGACTTTCTCTACACAGTACAGATAATCAAGAATCCATGGAATAAACATGCATCGCATGTAACATCTGTACTAAATGTAAACTAAATGTATTATTGGAAGAAAAAGTAAAGGATCTACAGGCAACTGAAACTCAACCTAAAAAAATGAGAAACTCCAATCTAAGCAAGAAGGCTATATATGTACTCTTCAATATCTTCATAAGCTATTTGGATGAGGGAATAGAAGGGGAACTCATCAAATTTGCAGACAACACTAAACTGGCAGGAATAGGTACCCAGTCCAGAATAAAGGCTCAAGATCCAGATGAATCTTGACAGACTTGAACACTCCACCCTATCTAACAAAATGAAATTCAGTGTAGAGAAAAGTAAGGTTTTACACTTACGCAAGAAAAACCAAATGTACAAGTACAGATTAGGTGAAACCTAACTCAATAGCAGTAACTGTGACAGGGGACCTTGGAGTCCTTAAATATGAGCCAGCAGGCTGCGGCAGAAGCCATAAAATCCTAGGTTGCATTAATAGAGGGATAGAATCAAGATCATGTGAAGTTTTAGTACTGCTTTATCAAACCCCGGTAAGACCACACTTAGAATGCTGCATCCAGTTTTAGTCACATTATTAAAAAAAATGTTGAGGCTCTGAAAAGAGCAACAGAGTTTTAGCTAAAACGTATGAAGAACGGTTGCAGGAATTGGGTTTGTCTAGTCTAGTGAAAAGAAGGACTAGAGGGGACATGATAGCAGTGTTCCAATATTTGAGGGGCTGCCACAGAGAAGAGGGGAGTGGGTATCAGACTATTTTCCAAAGCACCAGAAGGCAAGACAAGAAACAATGGATAGAAACTAATCAAGGAGAGAAGCAATCTAGAACTAAGGAGACATGAAAACAGCTAGTGGGACAGCTTGCCTTCAGTAGTTGTGGTTGCTCTATCACTAGAGGCTTTTAAGAAGAGACTGGACAGCCACATGTCTGAAATGGTATATAGGGTCTCTTGCTTGAGGGGTCTAGCCCAACCCCTCTTGCAGGGGGTTGGACTAGAAGACCCCTGAGGTCCCTTCTAACTCTGCTATTGTGTTATTCTGACTATACCTAAAACTTTAAATCAGCACTTGGGTTTTGGCAGATGAGGGTGCACTTACCAAACTATGTTCAATCCAACATTAAATAATGTTTTAATTTCTCCCCTGTTTGAAAGAAGGAGTTTAAAGCTCTGTGTCTTACACTGAACTCAAACTCAGCAAAAGTGGTTTCTTCTCATTCTTCCGCTCCATTTATAATGGGGAAAACTCACATCACCCGTTCATCTTTTGCAAGCATCATTTTGGAATGTGTAATGAACAAAGATGGTTTCTGTTGAGAAATTCCTCTTTATTCAATAAATTGTTTTTAATAATCCTTTTATCTATTAACCTATTTCCTCAGGGAAAAAAATTAAGCAAGCTGTGCTTTCCTCTAAATGTTTGTTCTTTTAAGCAATGCAGTACTATTAAAGTTATGTTGTGTGTGTTCTTCAGTCGTCAATACAATACTTTGCAGTAAACATGCAAAGTTATGTCCTAAAAAATTAAGTGTTCCCAGTAACTACTATTACAAAAGTATTTTTTTAATTCTGTAAAAAATCCTATCAAGCTATGTTGATGAAATAAAGTTTGGCATAAAACACTGATTATAGAAGAATGATTTCATTCAAGTGTTAATGATATTTGAAATTCCCTTTAGTATATCTTCTGAAGCTCATGACTTTTTGAAAGTCCCTTAATTAGCACAAGACTGATGTTTCACTATATCCTTTATACCAAAAGAGACTAAATTTAAGTCCCACTAAATTTAGAATGATTTTTTTTTTGACTAAGCATGGAGACATAGGAACATATTGTATGTCCCATAGATATATAGAGTACATTTATAAGGCTAATTTGGAAGAATTTGAGAATTACATAGAAAAAATATTTTGTGAAAGAAATGGTGTATATACCACTGGGGATGGGTGGTTTTAGGACAATTTCTTCTAATCCTAGCTGTAATAGCATGAGAGATACAGACTAACATTCTTCTTTCTTTACCTCAGGCAGAGTAAGTTTTAATTTCACTATAATTAACTGTTTGAGCTGAAAGGCTTTAAGCTAAGACAGTCAAGATAAGCTTTTAAATAGTAAATTGCAGTACCCTCTAGTCACAATGGATTTTGGAAATCACAAACAATTAAATATGTACACTGTGTCCTAAAACAGTTCACAAGGCAATTGAATTTGACATGGATATATCATTCTATAGTGTGTTTTCCATAATCTATTAAAATGTTCTTCAGTATCACTGGAGATATAAGCTAGCAGACAATGGCTGCTTATGCCTCTTCAGCACATCTACTTAATGCTGATACATATATTATTTTTGGCGTCAATATATATTGATACCAAAAAACACTATAAAATAATTATCAAATTACTCGTAAGAAACTTAAAATAAAGTTTGAAATTCATGGATCTGGGATCAGAATTCTGGGATCAAGGATGCCAACATTACCAGAAGGTTGTTTTCCACTTTAATGCTCTTATCATTAAAAGCATTACAAGGGAAAAGAATCCTTCAGATAGTATTGGAAACCAGTTAAGAATTCTGATCCATGAATTTCAAACTTTAAGTTTCTTGAGAACAGTTTTTTAAAAGTGGCACAATAAACCAGGATCTCAAAAATTGTTTTGTAGCATTTCTGCAATTCATTGCAACATTTTACCAAGGAACCCTCTGAAACAGAATCTTGTGTTTTCCAGCCAAGCATGATATAGTTGAGAATTCTATTTCATTCTGCATCCACACTTACAAGCGGTATCCACAAAATGGACCCCACAGCAGAAAAAACTCCAACAACCCACCAAAAACACATTTTATTTTAAGCAAGTGAAAGTATTAGTAACTCTGAAGAAGACTACAAATAAAATAACTATGTCCACCTGTTTCTCTGCACCCTCAGATCACCCCAATTTCCATTCTATCATCAATCCAACTTCCTAATATCATGTGTCTTACTTTTTACTTGCGGCCTCCCAGCAAAACATGTCTCTTCTTCAAATCCCTATTATTCTTGCCATTCAATTATTTCCATTTGTACAGTCAACACCACATCTAAATTCTCGGTTAATTTACTCCTGGCCTTTTTAAAAAACAAATTCTCCCCAAAAGCTGGTATATTCCTTTCATTAGTTTCCTGTGCCCTGTTCCTTAGAATCTTCTTTTCTTAAATTCTTTCATGCTCTTCTCCTATGCGTTTTACACTGGTTTTCCATACTGCTTTCTATTCTGTTCTCTTAGGCAGTAACCCCACATTCACATTATTGATCCAATCACTATTCTTTGCTCCCAGACTTCTATCTACAGGCTCCCAAGGTCTCTTCTACACATACTCCTAAATTCCTCACACTTCGCAGGTGCTTCTCAGTTAAGCCATTTGCAGTCTCTGGTACTTAAAGAATTATTATGTTGTGCATATTCCCACAAAAACTCTGATATACTTCTCAAACTCCCACCAAACCACTCTATTCTCAATTTTTGCTCAACCCTCCAGCAACTTAAATCCACACAAACTCTAACATACTTCTCAAGGTCCCACTAAACCAATCTATCTTCAACTTCTGCCCAACACCCATAATTTATTTTCTATCAGGAAAGACCCAACAATGCAAAATTCCAACACATCATCAGGGTTCCTCAGATAGGCACCCAAGGAATACACTTCACCTGACCCTGCAAATATTAAGAAAAACTCTTCCTTGCATTGCAATAACAACAACAACCAATGTTGCAACCCTGAGCTCCGGAATTGCAGTATTAAATATGGGCAGGCAGTCACCTTGCTTTTCCTAGCATCAAGCCCAAATTTGAGGGATTCTCCCATATAATCAGTCCCAGAATTTAACTACCTCCAGAGGAGATGCCGAGGCTCAATTTCACCTTAAAATTCTCAACCACAATCTTAAGAAGGCTACAGTGAGGTTACTCAGTCCTAACATTTGATTAAATATACAATCACTGATAAGTCCGGGTCCAAGTTGTTTTTGGGGAACAGTTAAGAGTTTGAAAACCCTTCATCCTTCCCGGTTTGGGGGAAGCACTCTGCACCTATTCAGAAGGCCAGTCCCGGGGCTGAAACAGGACCAGAAGGGTCGGTCATTCTTAGCCAAACGTCCCTTGCTCGCTTCCCCGGATGCCCGCCTTAGCCCACCTCAGGGAGACCCTCCACTCACCCGCCCCAGGGTGCTCGACGGTGGCGGCGCCATACTCAGCGGCGTCGCTCCACCGGGCGCAGGTGCCCTGTCCCTGCACCAGCGCCTGAAGGGGCAACTCAGCGCCGGGACTCGGGTAGCAGCGGAACCCGGAGACGCAACGTGGCGTGTACACCCCGCAGGGCTCCCCTTCGAAGCGGGCACAAACTGGACAGCAGCCGCAGCCGGGCTCTCGCACTAGCTCCGGGCAGTCGGTGGTCTCGAGTCCGACGGGATGGCAGGAGGCGAGGCGGTCGGCGTTGCAAGGCGGGCAACGAAACAGCACCTCGGGCAGCGCCAGTCCGGTTGGCGGCAAAGACGCCCACCAGCCCAGCCCGAGCCACAAGGAGGAGGCGACGACCAGCTGCGGCAGCTGCACCATCCTGGCGGCGGCAACCGCTTGACTGAATCACCGGCCGGGCAGGTGCTGCTGAGCCAGAGACTGGAGGGTGGCCCGGCACCGCTGGGTCCTAGAGGCAGGCGGACGAGCGACGCTCCACCCCTCAGCTGGCGCGGCGTGCGGAGGGAGCCGCTCCCTCGCGCCCTGCCCCCGCCTCCCCCTCCCCCCCCCGGTTGACGGAGGGGGGTGGGGTGGAAGGGCTCGTTTTGCCGCCCAGTCCAAAGTTCGGAGGCACCTTCCCTCCCCACCACCAATTCCACAAGCGGGACAACCATTTGTGTAGCAGCTTTGCCCCTGAGAACTCTCTTAAAGATCGTAGGTTCGCGTGATTCTCCCACAAAGGGAATAGGGCGAGGATAAAAAGTTCAACCAAAGAAAGCGGAGGAGAAATTGGCAGGAGGCGAGGCGGTCCTGTATATCCGTTTCAGCAAGCTATTGGCATCTGTTGGCCATTCAGGCTGGGACTTCACTGACCCGATCCCAAATATTAGCCCATCTTCTGTTACTCTGACGTTTGGACTTCATTTACTGTGTTTTACTCGATTTTCCACAAAATTCATGTAGCCTACCTTCAGAGCATCCTTATGGAAAATAAAGTGGCCCAAAGCTGCTTATAAAACCAGTTATCAAATAAATGTGAAAATAAATGTTTAATTGGGAAACTAAAAGAAGGGCTTCTTGCTTATATTTTTGTTCTGCATTATGTTATTACTCCGTGTGGTTTTATACCTGGGACTTATTATTTTTTTAGAGGAAATACATTTTAAGAAGCCTTAGTTATCATCATCATCATCATCATCACCACCACCATGTCTTCATTTAAGCTGGGCTTTTACCTACTTTAAGAAATACTGCCATCAAGAGGTAATTTATGAGATTATAGAACGTGAAATCCTAAATCACTTTGGAGGCTTTGGCCACAGTTAGCTGATGGAAATGAGCATAAAGACAATAGTGGTCACTACCAGCTCGTAGGTATGTATTATAACCTTCAGTGGCCTAAACCACAATACTGTAGGCTTCTTATGGTGATGTCCTCACCACAACAGCCTGTGGGAGACTGAGGGGCAGAATCAAACAGTTCCAGCACAGTCTCTGATATTCTTTGACAAGGACAGACCTCCAGCAGTTCCGAGTCCTTTCATAAGATGATATATAAACCAATTGATAATGGGCGGTATGTCTAAGCAGATTATGCTGGCATGTGAAGAAGCACATGACTTCGGGGAAGGAAAAAAAATAGATTCCTGTTTCCTTTATGTATATTTTATTTATTTTTTAAAAAATTTATGCTGCCCATCTCCCCAATGAGGTGTCTCTGGCAGATTATAAACTTATAAAGATTACACTTACAGCCTGCGAGTCCTTTATGTTAATTCTAAATATTTGAAAGTGGTTTTTCCAACTGTTTAAAGATTTAAAGCTCCTAAATCAATGGAGAAACATCTCCACACCATCCATATCCCACCCTGACAGGTGTTTTTTTTTTTTTTAAGGAATGGAAAGCATAGCTCTGTTCATAAAATAAAAGCAATGCATTAGCCATTATTTCACACTCAGTCTCTTGATAATTCAGTCATTCAGCATGGGTCGCACCCAATCATTTTAAGAAATACCACCGACAGAATGGAAGACTGGAACTAAATGGGCAACTTCTGAAATACCTTCTGGAACATACTCTTAAAAAAGAATGCTAAAGTTCAAAACTAAGCCATAATAATTGCTGCTCCCCAAACCAAACTCAAGCATGGCACTGAAAATACCTTAAACTGTAATTAATGCCTCAGGCAACTGAAGACAGCCTGCTTAAGCTCTGTTAGAGAAATATCGGATGATATTAAAAAGAATATTGAGCCCTAAGGCTATGCGGCACTTTGTATTCAAAAGCAAAAAGGGCTTCTGAACTCCCAGGAATGCAAATGTTGCATCTCTCTGTAAAGTGGCCACACCCACAATAAGGCCTAATTCTTTTAAATACACTTTCCAGAAAAAGAAAAACAAAACACCTGCTGGAAGCCTGATTTTACTGTTCACTGGTGTTAATTACAGCCTAGAGAAATTTATTAATAATCCAATTCTATGCAAGCTCATCCAGAACTATATCCCACTGAGTTTACTCCCACTCCCAGGTAAGTGGGTATAGAATTGAGGCCTAAATTAGTAATGCACTTGTCAGAACACAGCCCTGATAAAAACAGGACATGGCATATAAGCAAATTCTGAAGGTGGGATAATTATATGTGTCCTGAATTCTTCTCAGAAAGGGAACATGAGTAGAACTTTCCTGGTTTTGCTATTTCAGTTCCTGGTGGCACTTCCATGGATTATACCACTGTTTCAAATTCTAGCCTATTTGACTGCCTGCCTGCCTGCCTGCCTGCCTGCTTATCTATCTATCTATCTATCTATCTATCTATCTATCTATCTATCTATCTATCATCTATATTTCAACTCTTCCATACAAACAAACATACATACATATATTCAAGAGTATGTATGTATGCATGTATGTATGTATGTATCAGGGTGAAATCCAGCAGATTCTGACAGGTTCTGGAGAACCGGTAGCAGAAATTTTGAGTAGTTTGGAGAATCGGTGGCGGAAATTTTGAGTAGTTTGGAAAACCAGCATATACCTCTGGCTGGCCCCAGAGTGGGGTGGGAATGGAGATTTTGCAGTATCCTTCCCCTGCCATGCCCACCAAGCCACGCCCACAGAACCGGTAGTAAAAAATTTGCATTTCACCACTGGTATGTATGTATGTATATATGTATGTATGTATGTATCCAAGAGCTGAAATATAGAGAGGCAGGCAGGCAGGCAGGGCAGGATGGTACGGCAGACAGGCCAGACAGGCCAGACAGACTGACCGGACAGTCAGGCCAGACAGACAGACCGGACAGACAGGCCGGACAGACCAACCGGACAGACAGGCCAGACAGACCAACCAGACAGACAGGCCAGACAGACAGACCAGACAGACATAAACTTTCAGCAAGTCAAGCAAGGAGAGAGAGGGAGAAGAATATAAACTGACGCCAAAGAAAGTAGGTCAAATGCTAAGACAACAATGCATCATTTGGTGGAAAAAGACAATAAAAAGATGTGCTGTTACAGGTACTGGCAAGATTGGCTAATGCTTTGGAAGTGAACTCACGTTGTAGCCATGTGCTCTGGGTGGTGCTGTTCTGAGTAAGTGTACTTTGTAAAGGGACTTTACAAAGTTAGCACGGGGGTTGTATCTAGCTACTGAGACCATCTCTGTAAGTGGGAGTATTGATGATGTTACCTAGTTTGGGTAATGAAATGTCTGCAAGAAAACAAGCAAGCTCAGACAGCACCAAGGACCCCTCATTTCAATCCTGAGCTACAAATATTCTCTTTTATTGGGAGCAAATTTGCCCTATAGTGTGGCTGTGTATTTCTGATTATTAATTTCCAGGATTGTAATCATGTTTTACCGAGGAAGCATTGGAAAGAGACATATCCCAAGGAGGTTTTAGATCACCCCTTCCTCATTGCTCTTAAAAGATGGTAATTGTTTAAAATAATAGATTCATTTTATGTTTTTTATGTTTTAATTTATTATTAAATAATTCAAGATGGCAAACGTGCCTAATATTCCTTCATCCTCCTATTTCCTTCCAGCAACAACAGTGTGAGGTGAGTTGGGTTGAAAGAGAGTGATTGGCCCAGCTGCTTTCTTGCCTAACGTGGGACTAGAACTCCCGGTCTCCTAGTTTCTAGTCTGGTGCCTTAACCACTAGACCAAACTGACCCTTGTTTCATTATCTTAGAAAAGGGATTTCTTGATTAGGATTAGGATGGAATAAAGAAAAGGAAAGAAGAAGGCTCCTTTGAAAACAATACTACTATAGCATTTGCAAGTTTAAAGAATTAAGTCATCATGGTGCATTGATAGGGTTTAATTTTAATTACTCCTTTTTATAATATATGCAATTAATATGACCAAACAATCAATTGAACCTTGCAGATCTATTTCTTTTTATTTCCTAATATTTTAGCTTTTCCTTACTGCAATTGATCTACATATTGAATGATCTCTCCACAAGGAAACAGAACATTTTAATGAAGGAAATAAAAGCATTTTCCTTGTTCCAAATGCTACATGAAGCTGAAGTTAAGATATTAGTTATATTGAAATAGGCAGATTGATGGCTAGATCTCTCTCTCTATTTGGATCTTCTGATGGTTCTCCTTTTATTTATTTATTACTAGAACCACATACTCCACAGAATACAATAATGCTTGGGAAGTCTCCTATATATTCAGAATTAAGGTCTAAGGTGTTTCTGAGCACATGCTCATCCCAAAAAAGTGTTGTTAGAACCAGAACTGTGTTCCTAGTTATTTTAACATATGGTAGATAGATGTATAGTAGGTTTTTCTCCAAATTTCCCCGGGGCCATTAAATCAGAGGAAGGGAAGGTATAGTAGTTACTTACCCTGAGATTTAGTAGTAATTTCTAATTTAACTTCCATTTACCATGTTTCCCCGAAAATAAGACCCTGTCTTATATTTTTTTGAACCCTGAAATAAGCATTTGGCCTTATTTTCGGGGGAGGCCTTATTATTTTGGGGCACATGGAGGAAACCAGAGGAAATGACGGGGACCGGCTGTGCATGTGTTTAAATATTTCGGGGAGGGCTTATTTTCAGCATATTTTAGCGCATATGCTCAAAAGCCTGATTGTGTTTATTATCAGGGGATGTCTTATTTTCGGGGAAACAGGGTACTACTGAAGCATTCTAAATAAAATCCCCCCCCTTTTGAATGCTGCAAATAATTAGAAAACTCCTAATAGTGCTTTGCTTGACTTCAGATAATGAGGGATTTGAGAGCAAGCCAGGACAGGTTGCATGAAAGAGAAGTCCAAGAGTTGATGGGCTGATGGAGAACTGAAAACAAAAGTTACTTTTCAAGTGTTGGTGTGTTACTTACTAGGATAAGCATAGCTCAAAGGCATTGAGTGGGTTCTAAAAGAGACTGTTCTCCTTA